CCCCCCCTGCAGCAGGCCTGGGGCCCCAGGGTCCACCGGGACAACCCCCCCAAGCCCCACGGTGCGACCGGCTCTACTCGCCTCCCAAGACCGGGATCCTGCTGCGGCTGGTGCTCCACCGATGGCTCCCTGCCTGCCTTCGGGGCTGGTCTACTGTAACCCCAAACCAGCTCCAGCCTGGCTAAACCAGCAGCCTCCCCCTGTCCAGTGAGACCGAAACCCCTGCGAAGCTTCTCCGTTTCTGTAGGCAGCCATAGACAGTTCCTCGTATCTTATAGCACTTCCTTTCATGTAGCTAATTAACTTATTTCTTAAATTTTCATTGAACTTATTGAGGTGATATGGTTAATAAAGTTATATAGGTTTCAGATGTACAATTCTATAACACGTTGTACATTTTACCGTGTGCCCACCACCCAAAGTCAAGCCTCCTGCTATCGCCATTTATCCCGCCTTACCTCCCCTGCACCCCCAGCCTTTCTCTCTGGTAATCACCATAGTATTGTCTGTGTTTATAAGATTTGGGGTTTTTTTGGTTTTTTGCTTAATCCCTTCACCTTCTTCACCCGGCTCCCCAACTCCCCTCCCCTCTAACCGCTGTCAGCCTGCTGTCTGTATCTTTGAGTCTGTTTCTATTTCGTTGGTTAGTTTATTTTGTTCATTAGGGTTCATATATGCCAGTGGGGTACAATCAGGAAAGAGAATCCACTGTTTATCCTACTTGTGGTTTCTCTTTGCTGACCGAGCCCCCTGGCTACTCTTTCCATATAGGTCATCTCACTGACACCCCCACCCCCGCAAATCTCTCGCCCATGTGATGCATACTCCCAATGTTTCTACTATTTCTCTGCTTATTTCAACATTTCTATGAAGTTGCAGTGATCCATCGATCTCTGTTTCATGTCACTGGGCAGGTCCAGAACTTAAACTGAACTTCTGCGAAGTGGCAGTTAATGAGACACATAAAAGAAATGAGGTCAGAGCTCTGCGGAAAATAAAGACCCGTGAGGACATCGGCCTGACAGAGTCCTGGGAACTCATAGCACACACCTACTAGCCTTTGCCTCTTACCCTACGACAAATAAAACTATCAGATGGGGCACACGCTAAAACTCAAGGAAATGGGGTCAATGATCGTCTGTTTATGTATCAACCATATTTCACAAAATGGCTATAATACTGGTCTATTTTATTTAAGCAAAATGAAGCCATGTTTTAAGAAAAATCTTGGCTGTATAAAAAAAAATTGTGACTTATGGCTTCAAAACAAATCCAAAAGAAATTTAGTGGTTGTATCCCAACTCAGCGAGCTTGTTTAGTCCAATTTACCCTTCGGCCTGACCTCAGGGCAACCCACCCCTGGGTCTCAGAGGCCCTGGGTGTTGCTCCTTCGGCGTTGTGCTCACTTTCCAGGGAGTTAAACCAAGATGAGGGGCCAGATGTTTGCACAAGACCCAGACAAGGCAGGTCTGAATGCATTCGGGTGGGACCTGGGCGTTTATTTGACTCTCAAACTCAGAGAAAACTCAGGGAATTCCACTGAGACTCAAAGATTTGCATGTTGCTGCCACAAACAAACCTCTTTTGCATGGCGCTCCAGGTTATAAGTAGCTCCCGGTGTGTTCCCGGGGCCTGGACGAGCCGTTCAGGCCAGCCTGCCCCTGGACCGGGTGCCCTGCCCAGAAGGTGCCACCGCGGTTTCAGAAGACAACTACATTTATGGACACCATGCACACTGACTATGTAAAACACAATTCTTATCTTTCAAATTACCTGGCTCTGGATGTCATTATGTTTAGTAAAGGTCGTCTCGGACTCATTTTGAGTCACAGGAATGGTCATGCGTTTTTCGCACACTGGAGGTGAAGCAGCCAGCGCTGCACCTCACGCCAGCCCACAGCACTAATGGAAAGCCAGGTTACTTACCCTGTTAACTCAGCGTGAGGGTGTGACATGTGACGTAAGAAGATATATTATATATATATGTATACATATGTGTGTGTAGATATATATGTGTAAAATACAGGGTGTGGCAAAATCAGGTACAACTGCAAGCCTACTTTTGCCGCACCCTGTATATAATTTTGTCTGTCTCCTGACACAGACAGAAATGCAGTTCCCTTCCTATCACTGTTTTTTGTTTGTTTGTTTGTTTTTAAATAAAGGATTCAACTCAGAAACACCCTGAAGGCATAGGGCCAGGGATGGGGGCGGGGTGCCAAGCTTCCATGCCCTCTCCAGTCACACCACCCTCGGCACCCTCCCAGGACCTAAAAAAACCTTCTGATTTGTTCTTTTTTAAAAAATCCCCACCTGGCGATATGTTTTCCATTGATTTTAGAGAGAGAAACATGGATGTGTGAGAGAGAAACATTGCTCGGTTGCCTCCTGTATGCGCCCCAACCAGGGATTAAGCCCGCAACCTGGGCATGTGCCCGGACTGGGAATCAGCCCACCACCCGTCCGCGTACTGACAACCTCCAGCCAACTGAGCCACACGGGCCAGGGCAAACCTCGCCACCCCGGAGTGCTGGCCTGAGAGGAGCACCTTTTGTTATGTATAAAGAGGGCTTTTCAATCTCACCCGAGTTTACGCTAATGAGGTACCGGCTGGCCCAAGGGAGCTTCAGGATGGGGGCTGGTGGCCAGAGAATCCAATTATGTGATTAGAAGGTTGTCGTTTTTAACCCCCCTCCTGTCCCCCCTCCCGCCCCTGACCTCCAGGGAGAAGAGATGAGCTGAAGGTTAAGTTCAATAATCAATGGCCAATGATTTAGTTGATTATGCCTATGTACTAAAACTTCTGTAAAACCCCTAAAAGATGGTTTTCGGAAAACTTCCAGTTGGTCCTGGGAGGGGGGTGCGACTGGAGAGGGTTCTGTGCCCCTCCCCCGCCCCTTGCCCTGTGCATCCCAGGCTGTTTCCGAGCTGAATCCTTGATAAAAAACCAGTGACAGGACGTAAACTGCTTTTTTTGCGTTCTGTCAGCTGTTCTAGCAAATTATCAAGCCTGAGGAGGGGACTGCGGGAACCCCCAATTTTATAGCCTGTTGGTTAGAAGCATGCGTGGCGCAGATTACGGCTGGTGTCCGAAGTGGAGGCAGTTGTGTGCAACTAAGATCTCAACTGTGACGCCTGGTAATTCTGGATAGTTACTGTCAGAAATGAATTGAATTTTGTCTGGAGAACTGGAGAATTGGTTGATAGGGGAGAAAGCACCCACACATTTGGTTGTAAACAAAAAACAGTTCAGAGGTGTGTCAGGAAATGCGTTACTTTAAGGAGCTCACCAAGCCCCCAAGATCACAATAACAGCAAAGCCTTTTCAACAAGAGCAACAACTGAAGACGCCAGCCCACCAACCAAGGCTTAGCAGAGGAGAGTTGATATCAGTGTGACGAGATATTTTCTGTCAATTTATTGAGGAATAATTTACTTATGATAAACTGCATCTAAAACGAATGAATTCTGACAGTTGTACACACCTATAAAATCACCACCATAGTCAAGATCTGGAATAATTCCATGAACCCAGAAAGGCTCTTCTGTCCCTTTCTCTAACCCAACCTCAAGAATCCACTGATCTGTTATTGTTACTACAGATTAATTTGTATTTTATATAATTGAATAATAAAGTACGTGCTCTTGTGTGTCTGGTTACTTCAACTGAGTATAATGTTTTGGGGATTTACCCATATTGTGACCCGTATTTGTGACTCCTGCCTTGCCTTCTTTATATATTCCATTATGGCTATAGCTCCCTGCTTCCCCCACCAGCTAGTTTTGCTATTGAAATATTGCCGCTGTGAATACTCGTAAGTCTTTTATGTAGACTCATGTTTTCACTTTTCTTTGATATATACCTTTGACTAGAATTGCTAAGTAGTATG